AGGGGCGCACGACGCAGGGTGCCCGCCTGCCAGGAAAGCGCGCGCCACAGGGTCTCTGCGCCGCCGCCACCTGTCCGGCAGCCAGCTGGGAATGCGCCGCGGCCCCGCGCCAGCGCCCGATATTAATAACCTGGGCGCGAGGGGATGACGGCGCTGGGGGCCTGAGGGGAGAGGAGGTTGCAGGCATCAAGCTAGGAAGACACTGGGGGCGCTGGCTGCGCTAGGGTGAGGGGGCCGTGACGCCACAGGGGTGGAAGTCCTGAGTCCCTGGCTGAAGAAGGTGCCACAGCCCCCAGCCCACCTGCCCAGTGACCGAATCCTCAGCCTCCCCTCGGGTTCCTCTGCTCCCTGCCTTTGCCCCCTTGCTTCCCCACCTCAGGGTGTTTCTGGAGAGCTGAACCTCAGATTCTCGGTTGTCTAGCAAGCCCTGGACCTGCCAGTGCAGAGGGGAGGCAGTAGGCTGCAATCCAGAGACAACCCTAAACCTGGGACAGGTTCATAGAAAGGGGGTCGGGGGAGGGGTAGTTACTCACCAAGACTATGAGAAGGATGAGCTCGCTAGGGGAGGACAGAGCCTAAAAGTTCCCTATTCTCCTGTTTGCTGCTCTGGTCACAGATGACTCCCTCCCTTCAGGTCTGGGATTTGGCGTAGGGTAGGCCGGCCTCTCACCTCCCCTGGCCTCCACCTGTCTTTGCGGATCCCAGTCAGGGTCCTTGAAGCCCATGTAGCCTCACCATACTCTGGCAGGGACTAGTGGTGGTCAAACCCATGGAGGGGACTCCAGGGCGAAGGGGGTGCAGCAAGGCCCTGCAAGTATGAGAGGAAGGACCCTCAAGACCCCTGAGGCCTGGTGAGCATCCAGGGGAAACATCCAGGGGACAGTGCTGCAGCCCAGCCTAGGAAGGGCCCATGGCAGGGTATGTTGCAGCTGGGCACATTTGATGTAGTGGGGGATGCTCGCCCCCTATATGTGGACTCTGCCACATCTTGATGCTGTCTTGCTCTGTCCTTTGCAAGGCTCCTGTCCCAGTGCAGATGTCTTGGCTATACTTGTGGCCTCTGGGTGGGCCTTACGCCCTGACGAGTCTCAGAAGCTTCATCACAGCAAAAATGGATTGATAGAAGGAACACACATGATGCCTTTCTTCACCTGCAGACATGAATCAGTAATAATAACCTGTTCCCACCTGCTCGATGGACCAGAGGCACTTCCAGCCGGAGGTGGAACCAGCCTCCAGGATCACCACCTCCCTTTCCCCAGGAGTCCTGAAGCTGTACCAAGGGGGTGGCTGTAGAGAAACGAGGCACTGTGTGAATTCAAACAGAATTCATAGCTGTATGAATTCTGTACCAGTGAGAACCAGCAGAAGCAACAAGAAGTCACATAGTCATAAACCTGCAGCTGAATCCAGCCTGATTCAACACATGTTGATTAGGGCAGAGGTGAGGGTTGTCATTGGGGAGGGCCTTGGAAGGAATGACACAGGCCAGTTCCCTCGTTTTGCTGATGAGAAATCTGAGGCTCTAAGGAAGGAAATGGCCTCCATGGTCTCCAAGCCCCCATCACGTTGGGGGACTGCCTGGGAGCCCTGAGCCGACAGGCTGACAGCAGCAGTGACATGTTGCTTTACCAGTAAATCTAGAAAGTGCCCGGATTGGTTGTGGTTTCACTTTCTGCTGGAAGGTAGAATGTGGCCCATTACTC